GTGTGAATGATATTATCCGCTTTGTGTGTGAAGAATACGGTGCAACAGTTATTAAATCAAGTCGGATTTTTAATGACTGTAATTCCTCATTGTACTGGAAGGACGGCATACATTTGTCAGACAAAGGAACCGCCTCTCTGCTGAAACTTTACAATGAACATGTCTCAATTCTAAAGCAGAATCAGATACAACCTCCGCCCGTGTCCATGAAGTCTACATCCTGTTACTACTGTGGAGAACAAGGCCACTTATCCCGGAACTGTAGACATGGTAGCAAAGTAGACTGTTGGTATTGTGGAGAACCTGGACATAAACAAAAGTTTTGTTCATACTAGAATAGGGGCAATGAATGTCAGGCAGAATATACAGAGAGTATTTCCTTAAGTCTTCAAAATAATTTTTTTCCTCTCCAAACTGTATGTTCAGAATGTAACCAAATATTATGTATATGCAATGTAAAAAATTCCCCCATCGTTAAACACGTTAAAAATCCTCAGATAAAATACGCACCTCCAAAAAAAAAAGAAATTCCCTTAAAGCTGTGCAAATATCTATGTCTGAAAATAAGATTAACAAAAGTCTTGCAAGTGAAAATCTTAATTCAAACAAAACTATAAGCACAGTTAATAAATGTACTCCAGTGAACACTGGATTTAGTCTTGTAAAAAAGGGTTTGCGTTTTGGAAATTTTAATATTTGTCATCTTATACCGAAATTGGACGAACTGAAATTAATTCTACAAAATGAACGATCTATGGATGTACTGGGGCTTTGTGAGACTTTTTTACAGGACCATATTAGTGATTCAGATTTGAGTATAGATGGCTATGTACTTGAAAGAAAAGATAGACAAAATAAGTCAGGTGGTGGAATAGTAATTTATATCTAAAATGAATTATCCTATAAACGTCGAAAAGATTTAGAAATCAGGAACATTGAGACAATATGGTTAGAAATTAATTTAAAGAACACAAAACCTATACTTTATTGTTCTGCATACCGCCCACCATCTGCCCCCTCCTGCTGGGTGGAAGACCTAGCAAGAGAGATGAATTGTGCCCCCTGCTGTGATGACCAAGAAATCATACTTACAGGTGATTTTAATGTAGATTTGCTTAAAGACCCCCCTCAATATTGGACATCTGCTCTTGAAGAATTTGGACTTACTCAACTAATTACCATACCTACTAGAATAACTAACACCTCATGTACCCTTATTGATCATTTTTACACTACCCAACCTGATAACATCTGCGAAATTCAAGTACCACCCATAGCTATCTCTGACCATTACTCTGTTTGTGCAACCCGTAAATCTAACAGCATGCAGCGTAAGGGAAAACACACTGAAATTCAATACAGAGATTTTAAGAATTTTAATGAGGAAGAATTTCTCTCTGATTTACAAAGTGCCAATTTCAATGTTCTTACAAATTTGCAAAATCCTAATGATATACTGGAAAACTTCTACAGCATGTTTAATACCATTCTCAATAAACATGCTACGGTAAAAACTAAACGTGTAAAAACCGAGTCTCGTCCGAAATGGTTCACACCAGAAATTAATGATGCTAGACAGTTACGAGATTACTATCATCAACATAAAAACTTTGATAATTTTCGTCATTAGAGAAATAAAGTTACTCTGTTGATTAATAATGCAAAATATATGTACTACAAATCAGAAATTGAGGAGAGCTCTAATCCTAGAGAAATGTGGAGCTATCTTAATCATTTAGCTTCCAAGTCAAAAAATATTTCTCCCACTCTTATTAAAGACAATGAATCAGAAATTGATGATTTACAACTAATCGTAAATGTTTTTAATGAGCATTTCACAAGAAATTCTGACAATTTATTATCTAAAACACAAAATCATAGCTTTAATTTTCAAAAATTAAAAGAATTTACGAAGTCCAAACTCAATGATGAAAATGTGTTTAGCTTACTTCCTATAAGCCAGGACGATGTCTTAACTATGCTACACTCACTTGACATTAATAAATCAGCAGGTGTAGAATTCATTGGTCCCCGTCTCTTAAAACTTTCTGCAAATGTAATTTCTAAACCCATAACTCATCTCATTAATACTAGCATTTCTAATGGCATCTTCCCTTCCCAGCTGAAACATTCTAAAGTCACCCCCATATATAAGAAAGGCGATAAAAGTGATCCCAGTAATTACCGTCCAATATCTATCCTACCAACTTTGTCAAAAATCTTTGAAAAGCATATTGCTAATCAAGTACGTGAATTTACGAGAGCTTTTGACCTCATTATGAGCTCACAGTCTGGTTTTAGGGAATTCCATTCTTGCCAAACAGCACTAACTAAACTTACCGATAACTGGTTGAATGAAATGGACCAAGGAAATTTCATTGGCATAGCTTTTCTAGATTTTAGTAAGGCGTTTGATTTAGTCAGTCATGATATCTTAATAGAGAAATTACGACATTATAATTTTGATTCACTAACAATCAAGTGGTTCCAATCATATTTAAACGAAAGGAAGCAAAGTGTAAAAATTGGCGCATGTTCTTCCGATATTTTACCTATCTCTGCAGGGGTGCCACAGGGATCCATTTTAGGCCAACTCCTATTTTTATATATATTGTATATAAATGATCTTCCTTTATGTGTAAATTACTCTAATATTGATATGTTTGCGGACGATGCAACTCTGCATTTACCTAACAGAAATGTACATAATATTGAAACACATTTAGATTCTGATTTACGTGAAATTGAAAACTGGTGTTTACAGAATCAAATGATACTGAACACAAACAAATCAAAATGCATGCTTATGTGTACACAACAAAAAAGATCAAGATTAAATAACCCAGTACTTGATGCAAAAATTTCTGGCAAGAACTTAGAAAATGTTGAAATTGGAAAACTCCTAGGTATTCAGATAGATCAATCTCTTCAGTATAATTGTCATGTTGATGCAGTTTGTAAATCCCTGAGATACAAATTATTTACGCTCCGTAAAATTAAGAAATTTCTTCCATTAAGCACAAGAAAACTTTTCTATAATGCATACATTTTGCCTACAATAAACTATTGTCTCATAGTCTGGGGTAATACGTCCAAATGTAACATTGAGAGAATCCATAAGCTTCAGAAACGGGCTGCTAGAATTATTCTTGATGCAGCACCTGACCAACCATCGAAGCCTTTGTTTGAAAAACTAGGATGGTTAAATGTTTTTGAGTTAATTACGTTTCATAAATGTATTTTATTGTATAAAACTTTTTATGGTATGAGCCCAGAATATATCCAGAATCTTTTTATTTTTCACAGTTCTGAATAATACTCATTGCGTTCAGAATTTAATTATAATCTTCGATTACCAAAGCATCGAACAATCTTATTTACTAACTCTTTACAATATTCTGGTGTACATTTATGGAATAGTCTACCGTTACATGTTAAATTATCGCCATCTTTACCTGTTTTTAGAAAGAATTTGGAAAAAGTTATAATTAGCCAACGTCTGTAAGTTTTATTATTATATATGTTCTTTTTATTGTTATTAACTATGTCTTTTAAACTTTGTATATTGACTTATTTATTGTCCTATATTTTCATTAATTTGTATACTACATTCGATTATGAAGTTATAGAAGGAGCTTACCATTTTCATGCACATTGTATATATGTTTGATTGTACCATTTTATGTATATTGTTGAAATGTAGAAGGCCCCGGGGAAGAATAGTACTTTGTACTAATCGGGTTACCTTCTTTAAATAAAGCATTATTATTATTATTATCCTAAAAAACTGAGTTCAAATTTTAAAAAAAAGTTTGAAATATCTCTACATGTTTTGTCTTCTAAGAAGTTTTAAGGGGATCAAAGTTTGGTGAATATTTTCTTTACGCTAACTATTGTCTGTTTCCAGGTAAAAATATCATTAGATTTGTGCATCTTTTGGTTTCAATTTGATTTCAATTCTTTCATATTTTCTCTGCAGCGGAGGGAAACATGTTTTCCTTTACAACGCAAAATATTAACTGATTTTAAGGGGTTGCATAACGATATGAATAAAATACTAACATCCGCCGAAATCCACCCATAGCTGACATTTCTTTAGACAAAACCCTTTTGTTATTTGCATATGGAAACACAATGGCTATTCAACAAATTGATATGCTCCCCAAGCTTATTCTGTAAACATTCAATATTTCGTATGTTTGCTACCTGTTTTGCACATTTGAAAAAAACTATACTCAGAACAAAGAGAACTATGTTTTAAGTAGGACAAAGGCGTCAATCTGTCCTTTCAGTGAGAGAAATAACTAATCTCGGGCCTCGATTAGTTCTTTCTCTCACAGATTGGACAGTTTTTGGTTTTTCTCGCTTACTTAAACGTACTAATTTATCTCTACATTCAAATTTTAAAACATATGTTTGAAAAGGATTATAAAGTTAGATATTTGATCAAATTTCTTCAATTCCGTAGTATTGCCTCACGTATATTCTATTTTTCTCCCTTTGAAAACATACGATTTCTCTATGTTTTCTTCTTTATTAAACAAGTTTTAACAACTTATGAAAAAATTGAACTACTTAAGATATTTTAATTTATATCAAATTGACCTTCAAGTTACATTGTGTATGATATCATTTAGAATCAACAGATTCTATAAGAAGGAAGATGCATCCGAACAGGGTGTTAGAAAAGGACTTTTATCTATTTTCAAAGAATTACACAAACAAAAAAACTTTTTTGAACAAAACAATGATTTCTTCTATTGATTTTTACTGTTTGTTTAATGGTTTATGGTAAATTTTTGAGATTATCAATATCGTAAAAATGCATTTCGATTAAATAGGTTCAACAATACTTTAGTATGATTCAATAATAACTTATGTAATTGTGTAATCAAATTCAAAGAGTTCAAATTTTACAATGTCGGTAAACACAGTTAGCTGTAAATAAATTCATATTTGTAGCATACACATTTTAATAAATTAATGAACAAATATTTCAGATGGCTATTTAGCAACCAGATAACCACCATTCAAGATAATGCCTTTAAAGGACTGCCAAATTTACGGCTACTGTAAGTTTTTGATCAATTTTTTCATGTGTCAGATTGAAAGAAAATGCCATTTATTAGCAAATTCGCAAATTTAATGTACGAGGGTTGTCCCGTAAAATCGTGGACAAGTTGTCTAGTGTGAAAAATAAACATCACTGCGTTCTGAAATTTTCACTATTTTTCAGTACATATTTAAGTAATATACACATCAAATTTCAGATAAATATATGCATGAATAAACAAATTATGAGATTTTATGCCATGTATTATATCACCTTACGGCGCATGGATTATAACGTAAAAGTGTCTAAAACAGCGTCACGTTTTATCTTGAAACTGAAAATGAAGTTGGATGAGTCCGACTTAAATTCAGGAATTTCATTATTACACATTATTTAGTCTCCATAAACAGCCGAAGAACCAATTGGCACCCTCATGCGATCTTCTGAAGATTTTTTAGTAAGTTACGGACAATATTCTCACCATCATTAAACTAATAGAAAATCTCATATCGGCGGTCTACTGTGACAGCGTCTTTTGCTATTACATTAGGAGTTTGTCCGTATGTTTTGTATTCCCCATGGACTCGATAAAAAAAAACTTCGCTAAGAAAACTCCTAATTCATTTGTATACTTAAGATATGGTGATATTTTTATAATCTTTTTTCATGTATGTTCATTCAAAGTCTCTAAAGGTGTCATTACAACATCGAAATAAAACTGAACTGTTCTCCGGTGCGCCGTAACGCCATAAAACGTCGCCATTTTACGGGAGTTGTGTTTACCACCTTCCCATTTCGAATGCCCGAGAAACTGCCAAAAATTGAGCAAATGCCTTAATTTTTTTTACAAAGACACTAAAATTGATTGTGGAATTGTATTATGATAATTTTAATCCAAATCTTATGTATTTAAAATTTTTATTTTGAATTCAAACTTGTGTTTTCTTAATCAAACCTTGGATTTTTTTACCGTGCGCCGTAAGGCAATACCTCGTGAACATTCAAGCATAATAAAATCTTTATTTTTGCCCATATTTTATCAAAAAAATTATCATGCACTTAAATATGATAAATAAACATTTACTGAAATTTTCAGCTTAATGCGCCCATTACTTTTCGAGAAAAACGCTTTGTCCACGATTTTATGGGACAACCCTCGTATTAGGGAACTTGCTTACAACATTTTAAAAAATTGTGAAAATCAAGTGGAGTGAGTAAAAGACAATATATTTTGTTTCTGCATGTACGACGCATGTACTGAACACAAAGAAAACCAGTAGATAATGAGTTGGTTATTTGACTCTATAGAATTAATGATGAAGTGCCCTGAATGTTTACTTCCAAGGGTGAAAAAAAATTTCTTCCTACTTAATGTGTATTCAGACTGAAAAAAAAACCATCAGGTCCAATGTTTTGGGGGCTTTTTATATTTGAGGAGTGACAGGTGAAGTGTTGTAATAGGTCTTTCATTCACATGTTCAAACTCAAACAAGGATAAAAGTATTTTTAGTTCTCATATTGTTTTTTTTTCAGAAGGTATTGCTTGGATTAAGTACACGTACTTTTGAAACAAGTGTAAACTTATAGGTTTTAGAACAAACGTTTTATTAAAACATTTTTAGCTTGAAATATTTTTGCTTTCGCTATCTCCGTATCCTTCATTCATATCAGGAGGATATGGAGATAACGAATAGTATTCAATATCAAAGTCCATTAAAAACGCAGTACAGTTAAGGTACGCAATGGAAATATCGCCTGAATTTTGTATTCAAAAGTGTATTCATAATCGGGATGGCGATTATTTTTTGTACATAATTTATATCAGATAATTGCAATTATGAATTATAACTACATATCGAGGGCGATTATATTTTACATTTAGTACTAGTCACCTGATGTGGCAGTCACGTAATCTTAGCAGATTTACTTGCAGTATTGATCGTACATATAAATATCAATAGTGCAGGGTGAACGAACACTGTTCGAACGCTGTGCGAAGGGTGAACGAGCGCAGAACAAACGGCGGAGGAACGGTTAGTGAACGATGTGTGAACGCTAAACGAATGGTGAACGAACGCTGTTCGAACGGTGAACGAGCGCAGAGTGAACGGTGATTGAGCGATGTGTGAACGCTGAACGCAACTTGATGAACGATGTCTGAACGGAGAGCAAACGCAGAATGCGATCGGAGCTCAAAGCGTGCAAAGTGAACGCAGAAGGACCGATGAACGCAAGATGAACGGTTTTTTAATGCCCTCGATCTTTTCCTAACATTGAACTATTATTTTCTATTCTAATATCAATTGCTCAGATATAAATAACAATAAAAAGATAAATAGATAACTAAATAAAACTATTTTTCTGCACATACGTATGATGTTTAGAATTAACAAGTTGATAACTCGACTTTTAATGCTGTAAAACATGTACAATTGCTATCAAACGCGTGAAGTATAAAAGATAAAATTAATCTATACCTCAGGCCTTTGCAATTGGATCGAGTAAAAACATTAAGGTCAATTTTGGAATTGGTTTCAGAATATCTCGAGAAGTATACAGAATAACGGAGTGAACTTAAGCAGTAATGAAGATTGTTTACATATAAATTAGAAAGTAAAATTGTTAAGCATTTGATGTTAAAGAATTTTTTTTACTGAAGTAGGTTGTCTATGAAAAGGGTTCCGTAAATTAATTTTTTGAACAACTCAACATTTTTTCTAAGCGATATATATTCAAAATGTGCTTATTCTTTTAACTAATAAAATAATATGAATTTTAAAAGAGAACACAGCTACTTATAAAATGAATTTAATACCATGGTTGTAACAACCTCTCATATTTGTCCATGCTAATTAAGGCGATTCTGGGAAAAATAATGAATAAAAAAATTAAAACGTTTACAAAGGTATGTTGACGTATTGCATGAATAAATATATACTTTAAAAACTTATAAAATAGTATATCAGAACTAGCTTTAACATGTTTTGTGCATTATTTGAAAAAAAGTGTTAGAATTATTATTTTTTGTATGCATGCTGCAATTGGAAAATTAATAAACTTGGATTATTATTCATTCTTTAGCGATTTGTCATATTCTACAGATCTTGCGTGAAATATTTGTTCATTGTCCTTATTTAAAATTAAAAAAAATCAGGCCATTTGCCTACAACTTTTTGTGCCAATCTTAAGGAAAGGGTACAAAACGGGTTATAAATTTCATTGTTTTATTTCTTTAAATTTAATGCTTTTGTGTTATGTTTATTTTAATTTTTCCTTTTATGTTATTCCTCTGAGATTCTCATTTTCTTCTAAGTCAATCTGCTTTCAAGATGAATTTCCACTGAAACAGAAAAATATAAACAAACACAAGGAAGATTTGTGAGCTCATTCTACTTTTTTCTTGATAAATACTTTTGTTTCACGGTCCATTGCCGTATCTTGATAATGAATTTCCTCTTCAAATGGCCATGCCTTCTACTTTTGGCACAACTAGTAACACCCATTTTTTGCACATCCAAAGGTATACTGTAAAATCACATATTTTCGTGGGGTCAAATTTTCGTGGTTTGAGGAAAAAAAGTTGATTCGTACGGATTTTTCTTTCGTGGAGGAAGATCTTTTTAGTAGTTGTGAAATTGACATTTCGTGGTGGTTATAAATTAGTGGGTCTCTTCATACCACGAAAACAACGAAAATTAAACCCTCACGAAAATAAGTGATTTCACAGTATTTCATTTTTTTTTTACTGTTTTCTTTGTATGAACCACAGAATGAAAATCCACCATTCAGTCGGGGAATGGTTACTGAATGCCCACTGAATGGTCACTGAAAGGTCACTTAAAAGACCCTTTCCCGTGACCTTTCAGTGATCATTCAGTTACCATTCAGTCGACTGAATGACACATACATTTCAATGCCTTTTTAGTTATCATTCAGTTGCAAATTTTTATTGAATAATCGACTTATTCTTTAACTTAAAATTTTAATCTTAATTTTACTTTTTCCTGGTATACTAGCATTAAATTTATCTAATTCCGAATAAAAAATTGAGAAAAAAATAAAATGTAAGAAAACAAAATGTGCACCAGGCCGGAATCGAACCCGGGTCTCCTGCTTGATTGTCCGCGACCTTATCAATTAGGCTACAACTTCTTAATGAATAAATTGGATTTAAAATCAATCAATTTGTAGAAATCGATGGAACAATCAGTTCACTTGTTGTATCGAGGAGCTGCGATGTGTATATATCTTGTATATCTTTTGTATATTCTATGTTAGTTGCGCGGATTTTGGGGACAGCCTGATTAATTACACATCTCCAATCGGGATGTTGTGATGACAATTATCAGCGACAAGCACCTGTTTCTGTGTCAGATATTTGAGATCGTTGTAAATTCTCTACCAATTTAAGTAACTTAATGAGTAGAATAATTTTAAAAAAAGTATTGAAAAAAGCTAAAAATCTACAATATTTAGTTTTTTCTACAAGGGACATGTATAAATTATTTATTGTATTCATGTAAAATGATTTTAAAATGATCTTTCGAAAGCTAAAATAATTATCCTGAAGTTTTGACAATTAAGAAACGAAATTTATAATATTGGCGTTCTTCCGGAAAATAAATTGTTAATAATATAAATTCTGTCTCATGAATCATGACACTAAATATTTCCATGAAAATACACGTATAAGCACTATAGAATGTGTTATACTGCATTTATTTAAATTTTGATTCGACTAACGGATCATCATTTTTTATCACTTGAAGAGTTTTTGTTTAATAAATCTAAGTAGAAAATTAAAAATTATTTTGAATTAGTATCATTTATTTTATAAAATTATATTAATTATCTAGACATATTTTTAAGGTACCCGAATTTAATCAAGATAAGAAAAAAGACACAATTAAGATTGAATATTTAATCTTTATTCAAAATATTGCTTCATTGTTAAGGAAAAACACCTGATTATAAATTAATAAGGCTAGTGAAAAAATCGCTAAATTGAGACTTAAATGT